TGAGACATCTGTTCAATATGTTGAGGTTTATATCTCCTTTCCCAGCCTCTTCGCCTTGTAAAGCTGGGTGACTAGCTTGAACGTCGTAGGTACAGGGTCATCTTTCTCTCATACTATTGTATTAAATATTTGTTTGTACGCATGTAGGAAATGAGTGTCGGCCTTGACATATACAAGCTGTGTCACTTTACCTGGATTTTCTATGTGGGTCGAGGCAGGGTTTATACTTGTATATTGCATGTTTTGTACTAGAAATGATTTAAAGTTCAATGCATGGGTCAAACAAGAAAATGTTCCGGGTGGGATATCGCTGTTGAAGCTAAACTGTATCGGTTATGTTCATCCGTCATGAATAGTCATATAACGTATATACGAACACGATAAATATACTATTTCTATCGGAACATAACTCGCACACTACCAAGCCCGTCGCATTTATAATATATATATCCATTGAATTGTAAACCATACACCCATCACAAGCAGACAGCGGCCCCAATAGCAGATGGCGATCCTCAGTTATACTGTCCACGGTGTCGGAGTGTAGAGAGCTACCGCGATAGCACAGCACGGTTTAGGAGACCCGTCAATAACGGGACTAATACCTACCAATAAAGGTAATATATGAGCAATACTAAAGGGAATGCGGGATGCATATACACTACCAGGAAAGACCGGTGCCTGTAGGTGTATACGCCGCTTTAACAAGCTCCACAGGGTTCCGCGGTATCAAAGACTCATACATCGCCAAAGATACGTATAGACTGGCATATATGAATCATCGGCACAAGAGCATGTTGTTCTATTGTGAACCAGGCAATCTAATGAAATGTGTTACTTCAGGCTTCCCATTCAGAATCAAAGTATTTTGAGCCTAATACACAGGATAGGCGCATATATGCGTGCTGTGCTTATTTATTGATTGATGGACAAATATCTCCATAGACCTGTAAACATGTATTTTACTCAAATGTATATACACAGACACACTTGTATATATACATATGCATAGGAAATATACGTTACATTGTTGCATTTTCGTGTATTTGTATAAGTTTAGATTCTTTCAAGTGTTACCACACAACCTCTATAAGCTACGTACATCGTACTTATTTACCCTTTGTCTACACCAATATTTTACGAGATGTAATATGTGAGTAGATAATTACACTGTACATCACCAGACCTTTTCCTTGTCAGATACAACTCATCGAAAATATAATACTGCAGTGAGCGCCAGTAGCCATATGTCAAACCGCATTTACGCTCTGGACAGGTGTAAGTTATAAGTGTAGGTTATAGCTATGCGTGAGTTTTCTTTTGTATTCTGCCTGATTTGACTTTAGACGGGCCACAGGTCGACCTTTAACTATTGGCAGACGGCATGTACCTGGCTATCGGTCTTGCAATTTGCCATACTGGCTGAAATATATCTAAGTATGCGAATAAACTAGGTTGAGTATATCTAAGTGTGCGAATGAACCACGTTGAAGTATACCTAAGTATGCGAATGAACTACGTTGAAGAATATCTAAGTATGCGAATGAACTACGTTGAGTATATCTAAGTAGCGAATGAACTACGTTGAAGTATATCTAAATATGTGAATGGACTACGTTGAAGTATATCTAAATATGCGAATGGACTACAATAAATCATAGACAGTACCTTGTACTTCGATGACTCCCCGTCTAATGCTGGTGTGATTTTGAAATACTGATATCGTCTAGAAAGAAAGGATACTGCATCTTCAGCGGAATAGATCTACTTCGTTGCAGCTTTAGCACAATGATTTCTTCACTCCGTTCTATTTATGTAATCAATTTCCTCTATATGAAGACCACAGAAAATCAATCTCGAGACTGCTTCTCCTACATGCGAATAAACTGTGACACGCCTTTTCACACCAGAATAAGGATGGACACCTCTGTATGAATCAATTTACATTACCCCCACAAGTAATTATCTGTTTAAGTGCGCTGAGATTATGGTACATGTCGTGGAAACTTGTCTTAGAAAGTAAATTGATTATATTTGTCTTAGAAAGTAAATTGATTATGAACCCTCAGTGTCGGCCACGAGTAGAGCTGGACGTGAAGAGATGTAAATGACAGTTGACACATCCGTCACTGCGGGTAAATTGCGACTCCCGAAGTTTGGCATTCGCAAAGCAAAAAAAAGTGTAGTGATTCGACAAAAAAAAAATGGGAATCATTTATAACAGGTGTTACACAAGTAGGTGCGTACACATAAGATAAGAAACTCAAAGATCATTGTCAGGAAAGGATTTTTACTCAAAGGTGATAGGTTGCGCAACGAAGTTTATTCTACACAACCAGCTCAGCCTTTCCAATTTTCTTTTTATATGTACATTTATTGAAGCGGAGATATTTAGCTCTCAAGCATCGTCTTTGGCCATGTGCGGCAACATTCCTGGTTTGAATTTAACAACTATTCAAACAGGAACGTCCTCCGCCGCAGATACCGAATCATCTCTTCA